TGGAAGGCTTTGGAAGAATTCGAGAGGCTTTGATATGCTTGGAATACTTTTGACATATTTTTAGGCTTTTGAAGTGTGGAAGACGGTGGATGGCTTTGAAAATAGTTTCTAGGCTTTGGAAGGATTCGAAGACGTTGGAAAGCTTCGAAAGAGTTTGAATGAATTTGAAAAGCTTAGGATACTTTCCACGGCTTTGGAAATTTTTTATAGGAATTGGAATTCTTTGGAAGGCTTTGGAAGTCTCCGAAAGGCTTAGAAATGCATGGAATACCTTTGAAATATTTAAATGCCCTTGAAGTGTGGAAGACGGTGGATGGCTTTGGAAATAGTTTCTAGGCTTTGGAAGGATTCGAAGACGTTGGAAAGCTTCGGAAGAGTTTGAATGACTTTGTAAGGCTTGGAATACTTTGGACGGATTTTGAAGCTTTTTATATACTTTGGAAGGCTTTGAAAGAATTTGGAATGCATTTGAATGCTATGCAAGGCTTTGGAATACTTCGAATGGATTTCTAAAGATTGGAATACTTGGAAGGCTTTTATTGCCCTTGAAGTGTAAAAGTAGTCGAAAGGCTTTGGAATTATTTTATAGACCTTGGAAGGATTCAAAGACGTTGGAAGGCTTCGTAAGAGTTTGAATGACTTTGAAAAGCTTGGGATACTTTGACTGTTCTTGAATATTTTTATATGCTGCGGAAGGCTTTGAAAGGCTTTGGAATACTTCGAGAGTATTTCATATGCTTGGAATTCTTTTGAAATATTTTATAGGCCCTTGAAGTGTGGAAGATGTTGGAACGCTTTGGAAATATTGTATAGACTTTGGAAGGATTGGAACATGCTGGACGTCTTCGGAAGAGTTTGAATGACGCTGAAATTCATGGGATATTTTGAACGGCTTTGGGATTTGTTTATTTGATTTGGAATGGTTTTGTAGTCTTCAACAGACTTTGAAAAGCTTAGAATAATTTTAAAATATTGTATAGGCCCTTGAAGCGTCGAAGATGTTGGAATGGTTTGGAAATAGTTTATTGTCTTTAAAAGGATTCGAAACGCTGGAAGGCTTCTGATGACTTTGAATGACTTTGAAAAGCTTGGGATACCTTCTATGGCTTTGAAAATTTTTTATAGGATAAGGAGTGCTTTGAAATGCTTGGAATACTTTTGAAAGATTTTATAGGCCCTTGAAGTGTGGAATACGTTGGAAGGCTCTGTAAATAGTCTATAGGCTTTGGGAAGCTTTGGAATGCTTTTGAACACTTTGAGAGACTTTGAAAGTCTTGTGATACTTTGAACGGCTCTGGAAGGCTTTTGATGCTTTTGGAATGCCTTGGAAGACTTTGAGAAGCTTTGAATCGCTTTTCTAGGCCCCTGAAGAGTCGGAAAGCGTTGGAAGGTTTTGGAAGGCTAAGAAAGATTTTCAAAGACTTTTGAGAATCTTCGAAAGACTTGAGATACTTTTAAAGGTTTTGGAAGTCATTTATATGCTTTGCTTTGATAGACTTTGTAATGCTTTGGAAGACTTTGTAATTATTTCGCTCTCTTTGAGATGTCCAAGACGAGATGATAAGTGCTTTCGAGTGAAATCTCGAGGCTGCTTAGGGTAGACCAGTTTCGTCCAATTCAAGGTGTTCCTGACGTCCAAGTTGTCTGAGCAACGGCCCCGGAACCTCCGTCCAATTCGTCTTTCTACGATCTACTCGTCGCTCCCCAAGCGGTCTCCGAGTGGTTTGAGTCTGTTCGTTGTGCGTTGGTGTTGGCCGCGAGCCCCGTGAGTGCGTCCTGGTGACTGACAAGTCCCGTCCAGACGACCACTCTCGAAGGCGGGTTCGAGACCCACCAAAGAGTGTGAAACCGGCTGCATCGCGTCATTT